GGGCTCAGGCAATCCACTCACCTCAGCCTCCCAAAGGCGCAGGATTACAGGCTGAGCCACTGAGCCCGGCTCATAATTATTTTTTTAATCAACGTCTCACTCTATTGCCCAGGCTGGTCTCAAACTGCTGGCCTCAGGCAATCTTCTTGCCTCTGCCTCCCAAAGTGTTGGGATTATAGGCATGAGCCACCACAACTGGCCCTTTCTTTTCTATTTAAAGCTATTGATTCAGATATAATTCTTTTTTTTATTTAGTTAGGATCTTGCTTTGTTGCCCAGGCTGGAGTGCAGTGGCACGATCATAGCTCACGGCAGTCTCAACCTCCTGGCCTCGAGTGGTCCCCTCACTCACTGCACCCCAGTATTATACCTGGGACTACAGTCATGCAACACCACACCTGGCTGATTTATTTTCATTGTTTTTAGAGACAAGGTCTTGCTATGTTGCCCAGGCTGGTCTTGAACTCCTGGGCTCAAGCAATCTTCCCAACCTCAGCCTCCCAAAGTACTGGAATTTTAGGCATGAGCTACTGGGCCTGGTCTCAGATAGAATTCATTTAATACTAAAATGCACCCGATTGTAGTGTAACCTTTGATAAGTGTTGAGTAACAATTACAGTGATGCAACCACAGGACAATCAAGATGAGGCCTAGTGAATATAGCTTAGAAGTAGTGAGCTAGTTTTCTTAGGCAGTTCTAAATTAAAACAGGGTGAGCGCTCAGGCATCTTTCTTATTCAAACAAGACCTTTACCCATGGCCTTGCAGGTTGGAATGTGCTCTCCCAGTGCAGTAAATCACAGAAACAATTGGGAATTACTCAAAAAGAGATATGGCGTTCTAAGAAAAGCCCAGAACTAGTTTGGCAGTAACTTCTATTACTTAAGAGGACCTTGGGACCTTAAAGGTTGAAAGCTGGTCATCAAAACTCGTGACCAGACACCAGCAGTCCTCTTCTCTTAGCCCGTGGTTTGCTTAATCATGGTTGTAAAAGTGTATAAAGATTCTTGTCAAAGGCAAGCACGTACCCTCTCTTAAGGCACCATGTTCTCCCCTGAGCATGTCTTTTTCTTTCTAATAAATTCTTTCTTAAACTATACTTTGGACTCACTCTGAAATTTCTTTCTGTGGCAGAGTCAAAGAGCTTACAGAGCAATACCCAGCACTCCACTCAGCATCAAAGATATTAAACATTTCCATCATACCCCATACAAACTGAATTGTGCAGTATATAACTGTAAACATACCCAGCATTCTTTGTTTTAGCTGTGATATTGTAGCAATCATTCTTTTTTTTTTTGGTGATGTGCTCTTTTTTTTTTTGAGTCAGGGTCTCTCTGTCGCCCAGGCTGGAGTGCAGTAGCACGATCATGGCTCACCGTAGCCTCCACCTCCTGGCCTCAAATGATCCTTCCACTTTAACCTCCTGAGAGATGGGGCTACAAATGCAAACCTCCACGCCCGGCTACTTTTTTAATTTTCATTTTTATAGAGATAAGGTCTCACTATGTGGCTCAGGCTGGTGTCTCGAACTCAGACAATCCTCCCATCTGGGCCTCCCAAAGTGCTGGGATGACAGGCGTGAGCCCTGGCACCCAGCTGATATTACAAGTCAAAACTGATAAGGATGCAGGCATGGTTCACTCGCTCAGCTGCACCCAAGCATAATTCCCAGGCGCGGTCACTCCAAATGTCTCAACCATCTTCTCCTGTGGAGCCAGACTGATTGGACAGCCCTGTCCACGGGCCCCGTCACTACTTCACGTCGTAGGAGACCCCAGCGCCGACACCACCACCTTGCCTCCAGCTCCGGGAAGCCTTCGCAGGAGTGATGAGCCTTGGCCCAACCCCGCGCGCGTCACGTGGGCGCCAGCCCTAGACGTTCCCTCCTCCGGACACACGGGGGCGGGACTGCGCCCCGGCCGCCCAGAAGGCGG